CCCCCCCGTCTGCCTGGGGATGGGGGCAGGAGCCCGGAGTCCGGTCACTTGTACGCAAAGAGGATCCCAAGTCAGGCCAAAATCCCACCCACGTCAGGCAGCAGACGGGGCGGGGTGGGGGTGGGGCCCTCACAGGTGGGGCGCAGCGGGGGGCCAGGCCAGCACCGGGGACTCGTGTCCGGCTCCAGCTGCCCCTCCTCTCCCCTCTCCCCAGACGGCGAGAAGCGGAACAGCCTGCCCCAGATCCCGGTGCTGTGAGTACAGCCCCGGCGGGTGCTAGCCTGTGTCTGCCCCAAGGCAGAACTAATGGGGCGCCCCGTGGGTCTGGCTCCGGCCACCCAGGGAGAGAGGATTCTGGAAGCCCAGCGCCTCACAGTGGCTGGTTTTCGTCTCCCCGTGAACTCTGGGGGGGGGGGCGTCAGTCCCGGTGCCTCCTGGCGTCCCCTTAGGGTGGGGCAGGTCCCTCCCGGCCTGCCCCCCGCCCTCCCGGGCTCGCTCCCAGGTCCTTGCCATCAGCAGGGGCCGCTTCTCCGGGCAGACGAGGAGGAGCACGCACCTGCCCAGGGAGCACCTGCCTGCCGGGGGGTGGTGCCCGGGGAGCGCGGGAGCGAGGCCGCCGGGCACCGGCCACCCGCCTCACCGGGCACCTGCTGTGGCCCCCTGCAGGAGTCTGGAGCCTCACAGACCGCCGCTGTCGGAAAGCTGCAGCATAGGTGAGCCTCCCGCCCGCGCCGGGGCGTGTCCAGGACCCTCAGAGTGACCGGGAGCCCTGCGGCTGCTGGGCGGCCGCGCTCTCGCTCCCCGGAGAGGGCGGCCCGGGCTGTCGCTCTGGGCTCTGGTGCGTCTTGGCCAGCTCGGGCCGCCCACGGCCGGCCTCAGCGTGCCTGCTCCCAGGGGACCTGCCAGCCAGTCCAGGGGGCCATCTGGCGGCAGAGGGCATCTGGCTCCCCTCTCCTTAGAAGCACACAAGTTTGTCCCTGGGGTGCACCCTCACGCGCACATCTGAACCCCATCACTTCCCAATGCCCCACCTCCTGGCATCATCGTGTTGGGGATCAGGGCTCCACCACAGGAACGGGGGGCAAGATACTCAGTTCTCAGCAACGTTCAGCGCGCGCCAGGTGTTAACTTACTCACAGCGTGGCCCAGAAATGCCCATCTCCGGGAAAGGGAGAGGTCAAAGGCCGCCCGGCTCTGCCGTGCCCGGCGGGAGGCCCGTTCCCGCCTGGCCCCACCCACGCAGTCAGCCGGGCGCCCCCGGGCTCCAAGCGGGAGCCGCTCGCCTGGCTCCTGTGTGCCCGGCGGGCGTCCTGTCCACGTGCCCTGTGTCTGCCCTGCAGAGTCGGACATCTACGTGGAGATCCCCGATGACGCCCTGCGGCAGTCAGGAGGTAGGTCGGCAGCCGGACGGGGGGCGGGCGGGGTGCAGGCGCCCCGGCACAGCGGGGGACCTTCCCCCCTTGGTCCTCACAGCCGGGGACAACCCCAGGCAGCTGCGGTCTGAACGCCCAGTCACTCGCACCCCACACCGTTGGCCACCTCTGTGCTGCGGCGTGGGGGACCCTCGGAGGTGACCGGGCTTGGGGGGCCCGACGAGGGCGTTCCCTGGGTCTGAGGCAGCGCAGCTCTCTAGACCCCATTCCCAGTGCTGCCCCAGATCTGGCCACAGAGGGTGGTGGGGGTCTGGCTGCGTCCAGAGGGGTGCCACCCCCAGCACAGCCGGCCCCTCATGCCTGCAGGCGCCCACTACAGCATCTCCCGGGAAGACGTGGTTCTGAACCGGATTCTCGGCGAAGGCTTTTTTGGGGAGGTCTACGAAGGCGTCTACACGAACCACGTGAGTGCCAGACTCTTCCCCGCTGCTGTAGTGAGGGGGAGAGGACGTGGATGTTCGGGTGAGGCGTGACATGGTGGGCCGTGTCCACGGCCAATTTGGAGAGTCCCCGCCCTAAGGCCAGCCACCGGGGCCAGCATCTAGAGGGGGCCGGCCGACAGGCGGGGAGCCGGGATGAGACGGGGTTCCGAGAGAGAGCAGGGTGGTGTCTGAGGCCCAGAGGTGTGCCACCCTGCCTTAGCGGCCGCGCTCCTGGTGACCCAGGCAGAGGCACAGCCAGAGAAGGGCAGGAAGAGGCCAGCGAGGAGGGAAGGGCCTGGCGATGGCCGGGCTCGCTCCACCCCCGTGACTTGGGGTCACTTGGCCCCTGGCCTCAGAGCCCCCGTGGGGGCCCGGGGGTCTGAGTTATGACTCCCCAAGCCCTTTCCCATCCCGACAAACACTGACCACCTGTCAGTGGCCACCGGCCAGGGGTGACACGGTGCCCAGCAGGACACACTCTGGGCCCGGCTGGGCCCGGGGGCCCTAGCGCACCCTTGTTGCAGAAAGGGGAGAAGATCAACGTGGCCGTGAAGACCTGCAAGAAGGACTGCACGCTGGACAACAAGGAGAAGTTCCTGAGCGAGGCAGGTCTGTGCCGCAGCGGGGCCGTGGGCCGTGCCCGGGCCCGCCACGGGAGGGGTTCACGCCCGTCCACCCACGCCCTGGTGGGAGCCGCCACCTGAGCACCCCCCCACCCCCCCAGTGCTGATGAAGAAACTCGACCACCCGCACATCGTGAAGCTGATCGGCATCATCGAGGAGGAGCCCACCTGGATCATCATGGAGCTGTACCCCCACGGGGAGGTGAGCGCGGCCTGCGGGTCTTGGGGGGCCTGACTCCCAGCCCCCTGTCCTCTGGACTCGCTGGGACCAGCCAGGGTGGGTCTTCGGGGGACCCCGCTGCGGCGTCTGCTCCCCAGCCGCCCAGGGAAGGGCCACACTTGCCAGGCGGAGACCCCGCCCCACGAGGCTGTAACCCCCAGCTGCCGTGGGGGTCCTGACGGCGCCCCCTCCCGCAGTTGGGCCACTACCTGGAGAGGAACAAGAACTCCCTGAAGGTGCTCACGCTGGTCCTGTACTCGCTGCAGATCTGCAAGGCCATGGCCTACCTGGAGAGCAGCAACTGCGTGCACAGGTGGGCGGGACGTGGGGCAGGGCGCAGGTGGGAGGCCGCGGGCGTGGCGTGACCCCTGCAGGCCCCGTGCCCTAAACAGCGACTGGACCTCGCGGGGCCAGGGGTCTGCTGTCGCTCAGGACCTCCGGGCCGCTTCCCTGGGTGCCAGGAGGGGCCCCCCGCTCGGCTCGCCGTTTGGCCCCTCCGGCTCGCCCACGCGCAGGGCCGGGCAGGGGCAGTGCCCCGAAGCAGCCGGAGTCTGAGTCCCCAGCCCGGGTAGCTGGCGCTGCGGGGCCCCGCACCCCCGGGCTTCAGCGGAGGGGGGTTTCTGCCATGGGAGTGGGGGGAGCCCTGGGCAGATGCGCAGAGGGGCACTCTCAGGCCCAGGGTGAGGCAGGTGATCCTGAAGTGCGACCTGTGGCGGCCTGAGGCGGGTAAAGGCGGCCGGCTCCCCGTCAGTGACCACCAGGGCGTCCTCCCCACGCCCCCGGGTGCTGTCTCCGCTGTGAGCTAAAGTAATCGGAACAGACAAAGCTCGATTTCCTTGTGGCTGACCTTCCCGCAAGGGCGTGGACAGAGGCCGTAACTGTCGCCAGCAAGGGGGCGGATCATAGATTTGTCTCCTCTGTGCTGGCGAGTTGTCACCATCTCGATAGTAAAGAGAAACTAGGTAGGGAGCGAGTGAGCCTCCGTGCGGCCTCCCTGCGCCCGCCGAGGGCGCCCGGGCCGGCCCGTGTCCGGCCGTGTGGCCCGGCTGGCCTGGGGCCCCAGCAGAGTCGGCTCCAGCCCCGGCCGCTCCAGAGCCCTCAGCCCCACCCACCTCCCCCCGGAAACGCAGGACAGGGCGAGAGTGGTCAGGCCCAGGCAGCGGCTGGGGGCCCAGCTGCGAGGAGGAGCGGGAGGCCCACGCCCCGCCGAGGAGGGGACCGGACACTCGGCCTGGGTTCCGGGGAGATGTTCCAGGCCCTGCGGGCACCAGGATCTGTGACGGCGAGCGCCCAGCCCTAACCCGCAGCGGGAACCCCAGGGCGTGCCCGGCCCTGCCCTCCGGGCCCCAGAGTCCTCGCTCCCTCGGTAGTGTCTGGTTGTTCTCGTGGGTGTGTCCGGTCGCCCTGCGATGGCCGCCGGCGCTCGTCTCTGCCACGCGACGGGCTCCCTCTCCCCTCGCGGCCCGTGCCTGGCTGTCCCCTCACCCTGGCCTGGCGCCCTTCTCCCAGGGACATCGCCGTCCGGAACATCCTGGTGGCCTCCTCCGAGTGCGTGAAGCTGGGGGACTTCGGCCTGTCCCGGTACATTGAGGATGAGGAGTATTACAAAGGTGAGGGTGGCCGCGAGGCTCCCGGGGGAGGCCCGGGGTCCTGGGCGCCCTGTCTCACCTGACCGCCTCCCGTGGCCCTGCCCCAAGCCTCCGTGACGCGTCTCCCCATCAAGTGGATGTCGCCCGAGTCCATCAACTTCCGCCGCTTCACCACGGCCAGCGACGTCTGGATGTTTGGTGAGTGCAGTTTGGGGATGCAGAAAAGGGCTCCGGTGCTCGCCTGCTGGACCGAGAGGGGTCTGGGGAGCAGGGTCTGGGCGCCCCAGTCCCCCAGGGCCCCGGTGCCAGGGTTCAGTTCCGCTGAGACCCCGGGGAGGCCAGTGGTGGCCGGGGGGGAGGGGGGCGGGCAACATGTGGAAAAGGCTCTTGCGAGCGCAGGCACCCCACCCCACCCCCACCCCAGGGGCGCATGTGAGCACGCCCTGGAGGGGGCCGCACAGGCAGACTGAGAGGAGGCGCAGGGGCTGCTGGGGGAGCCCGGGGAGGATGGCGTCCCCAGGGCACGGCGGCGTGGGGCACCCACGGGGCCGGAGTCCCGTCCTTGCGGTTATTCCTCCCTGTCCACGCACCGAGGCTCAGGCACAGGCCAGCAGGGCTGCCGTGGTCACGCGGGCAGCAATGTGGGCACCACGCTGCCACGCAGCCCTGACAGAGGCGTGACTGCCTCCGGGGTCACCCCGACCGCTCCAGGTAGGGACCTGGGGGAGTCTCTGTTCACGGACAGGCGAGGCCGGTGTCCTGGCAGACACTCGGTGGGGGCAAGCCCAGGCGGCTGGGGGGACGCGGAGGGCCCCGGGCTCCTCACAGCAGGACCCGAGTCTGGGGCCACGGTGACCCTAGGGGCGGGGCCCTCTGCGTGAACCCCCACCCCACGCCCTTCCTGAGCCCACCCCCCTGCCTCAGCCGTGTGCATGTGGGAGATCCTGAGCTTCGGCAAGCAGCCCTTCTTCTGGCTGGAGAACAAGGATGTCATCGGGGTGCTGGAGAAGGGCGACCGGCTGCCCAAGCCCGAACTGTGCCCCCCCGTCCTCTACACCCTTATGAC